GCAAAGCATACTAGCTGGCGCTGATCATATGAAACTTGGGTCGGTCTACGGCCTGTCTTACCTTTTCCAGTTTCCTGACATATTTTCAGTTATGTATCGCGCTCGAATACCCGTGATAATAGTCACCATGTCATTTTGAGCACTGCAACCATGCGCCCAGTCGACTTTGCAACCCAACTCAATGTTTCACTGATGAACGGTTGGGGCATAGTGAGGACTGTCGTTGATCTTTGCCTCAAGCACCCAGAAGGAAAATATGTGCTGATAAAGGACCCTAATAAGGTATGTGCCCGAAACCTACAACCTTCGGTCCAACAACTAATTCAATGGAATATTAGGCTGTTATTCGCCTATACGCTGTTCCTCTGGATGCATTTACTAAGGAAGAAGATGGGGATGAAGACATTGCATATGAGGAGGATGCAGAATGATCAAAGCTATAACCCCGACGTGTCTCTAAAGTTGAAAACTACATGTCATGTTGGTAATAACGATATTGCAATTCGACAGTATGCTTTGTTCAGGGCAGTACATGAATCAAGATAGGAGATACCTAATACACTCTAATGAATACACGGAGATTATTCTTCGTCTTCTGGTGGCTCGACGTTGGTAATTCCCATCCTAGCTGCAAGCTCTTTCATCTTTTGAACGGCTTCTTTAACCCGTATCTCTCTGCAATTCCATTGTTAGGCGCGACAATAACGGATATATGGTACTCACTCTGAGCCCAACTGACGACCTAGATCAAGCATCTGCCTAGTTCCTAAAGCATCCCCGCCATTCTGCTGCTTCTTCATGGCGTCCTCCGTTTCTTTGATATCGTGGAGATCAGGGGATAGTATTGCCAATTGTTTGGAAAGCTGTTACAAGATGAGCATCGACGATCATCTCTTCCCAATAAACTCACCAAATCGGCTCGCGATAGCAATGAATTTCCATCAGCACTATACGCAACATCTTTTCGCATCCTCTTCAATTCACGGAACCATGCTTTCTCACCATCGGTAAGAGCACCGTTGTAGGTGTCCATCAAACGCTGTAAGAGCCAGTCGAGTCTCTTTACTAACATGGGTTGAACCTGGTGAGCTCTTTCTGTGCGCGCAATGAGTCTCTGTAATCCACTTCCCGTTGCACCCTTCCCAGCAATTCTTTCAAGTTGACCTCGAAGTTGTTTGACTGTCTGAATTTGCCGATTTCTCTCCAAGGTCAACAGTTCGACCCTTTCTTCCAATATCGCTGGCAGCGTTTGTATCACTTTATGGTATTCCGACAATGTTGCAACAGCGGCTGCAAACTGCCGCAGCTCGCCCGGATTCGCTTCATTTCGCCCCAATACTATCTTTGGAACAGGAGGAAGATTTGGAGGTCGATAGTGGGGCAAACCTGTGAATGGTTTATTACTAAGGTAGGAGCTGGAATTGCTTGGAATTGCCAAGGTTGGTGGGTCCCTGTTGTCAGACGATTTGGTAAAGTCTGATGACTGGGCAAGTGATCCAAAACTTTCTTTGGAGGGCCCATTATCTGGCTGCGGATCCGGGAACCGTATTTGAAGTTCAACCGGGACTACTTGATGGTTGGAGGTTAGAGAAAGCATAGAATAATCTATGTAGATGTCGGAGGAGACAGTAAAGCCAGTGACTGGGAAGGTAGTCCTGTAAATGGACCCAGTAAGTCTTTTGCTACATAAATAACCATTTTCAATGCAGCTTACCTTAAGGCTACATCTACCACGTCCAACATTTGTACGACAGTAGATGCCTCACGGCCATCTTTTGCAAGTTTCTTGCTGACAAAGTCTTGAAGGACTTCAAAACTTTCGTCTGCCGATTTAGAAAGACTTAAAGCAAGGGACTCTTGTAATCCCTTGAGCCACCCAAACCAAATAGCGTGGACCCCAAAACTATGATATAAGTACACTGTATCTCCGTATATTGGGTCTGGTATCAGTGATACGTAATTTTGGGCCATGAAACGCGGATGAAGTGGAGCGGATGTTAGCAGTGGTTGAAGGGCCGATGCTGCTGGCCGTGTTGGGCCTGAAATTGGCTTCGACGAGGAACCTGGATATTGTGGAGCGACTGGACGAAAATATGATACAAAATCCAAGTCAATGGTCTCAACAACCACTAGAAGGGGCGAATGAGGAGGTGCTCCCTACAAATCAAATGATTAGCCTGAGTAAATTGTTTATTGAGATGACATACCGGCCGTGTCCAAACTGCCTCTACCTTGATCAAGTCCAGGCATACATCCACGCGCCCATCAGCGAAAGCGACCATCAAGATGCCTATGGATGATAGCTTGTCGTTGGATGACTTATCTCCTTGGGCAGTAGGAGTTGAATAGAATATATCAGTGGCTATCTCATCCCAATCCGGTGCTGAGCTAGGTGCTGGAGCAGGTTGGAAGCGGAAGGGACCTTGTGGTTCCACCTCGAGTTTGATAGTGTTGGGAGCAGTAACTGTAACCAGTTGAGACACATTAGTGCGAGTTTTAGTAGACACCACGGATTGTGTTGAGACACTAGAGAGGGAGGACTCCTTGAACAGACCGCTAGGAGCGGGAGCCTCTGCTGATTCTTCTTGCGGTAGTTGTTTTATGAGAGTTGACATATACTTTCGTTGGTGATCATAAATAGTTGGGAGATCTAGCTCTGACGTCGATGTAACGGTCGAGGAGGTCGAGGAAGAAAATGAAGCAGAAAGATGGAAGGCAGGTATTGGAGAGTTCATGAGTGACGAATCTTGGAGAGCAAGAGCTTCCTTCCCACGAACGTATGCTTCAAGCGAGCGAAGAAAAGCTGCGTCCACATGCCTGTAATGGGTTAGTCAACCTCACGCATCGAAATTAAATGCACTTACATTCGACTAGGGCAGACTGGACAGAGTGCATAGATGTCTCCTCCTTTCATAAGACCGTATACAGTCAATGGTGTCCAGTCACTACAACCTCTAGCACCAATCGTATCTCGTTGACCACATCCAAAAGAGAAAGAAATAGCTTCCGAAGAGTCAGGACTCTCCATATTGAATGTACTCCTTTTCTTCTTCTTTAAAACGAAATTGAATGTTTGGAGAGGTTCCTCTGCATCTTCTGTTGGATCGTATTCCCGAAGGACACCATCAGCCGTTAAGACAAACAGAGAAGTATTTCCATGACCCAGAGGGTGCCAATCTATCTTTACTATCTTCGCAGAGCCTTTGTTGCCATGATAGTAAGGTGCTATTTGGATGGATTTGCATTCGATAGTTGGAGCTCTTCCACCTCTACCGCTGGATGGTAGAACGATTACTGCCAAGTGGTGGGAGCCTGCGACTGCAAGTAGCCTGCCGTCGGCGTTCAACGCCATTTGCTCAATTATGAATTGTACGTTCGGTGCATGGAGGGTCTATGGGAAGTGAAATGATTAGCCATTGCAGTTTAGAAGTAATGTCCAGAGTTTTAGATAGTAACTGATACCAGAAAAGATGCAGCTAACCTTGTATGTGCGAGACGCTTTAGGCAGTTTGGCATCGAGCAAGCTTGTGATGCGTATTTGGTTGTTTATGGCCACCAACAAGTCAGAATTCCGGAACAGCACACGGGATCGTCTTTGACGAGCTGTTTCGGTTCGAGATTTTATTTTGTGGGCGCACCCAGATTTTGTTGTGGGTTGCAAAACAGGAGAAGGAACGATCCAGAAATGAAGATAGCGCGTCAGAGCAAGAGTAGAGAGTTCAACAAGCAGTAATTCATGGTGATTACGCGCTTCAGCAAGATATTTGATGTCACCAATGAGATCGAACTGACCTGTTATAGGATTTGTTGGTTGCTGAACCTCCTCAGAAAGGTCGAAAATAGGATGGGATCGCAAAGACTGAGGCCAAGGTATGTCGGATACATTAGAATGTTGTGTAGCAATATGCATTGCAGACGAGGCCTTTTGCGAGAAGGGTCGAAGGATGGAACGGCTGCCACACCTTTTGGATCTGGCCACCCCACCGCAAATCTCGCTCACTCGTTATCTGCTCGCCTCAATTCGCCTGCAATGGCGAAGACACCTGCCAATAAACTATATGCCCTGGATTCG